TTATATGCATCAGTGGACGCATTCCAACATTAGAGTCCCACGAGGCATAAACATCCATCTTAATGATGGATGTCAATGGGTGGTCCCTCCAAATAAATTCAAAACCAACGGTCTAAATATTTTCTTCATAAAATTATTATTTTCAGTTTTGAAATTTATGTTTTTACATATTCATGATCTCCATCTTAGAGATTATATATTTTTAAAAACTTTGGTCAAAAATCCATCTCAAAAATGAATTTTTCAAAATATGAGTCCCTATATATATGGGGGAGTGATTTCATGCAACAAATTTATAGTAATTTAATGAAACAATCTTCAAAAACCATGCTAGGGCCATGTGTTTGTCCCCAAATTGTAAACATATACCTTTTCATTTTATGAACAATCATAAAAATAAAAATAAAAAAAACTGAAAATGCATCCTAAAAAGTCCTATAATTAACATAGGCCGTCCGTTTGGTGAGATGCTTAAATCTAGGCCTTAGAAGGAACATTTTCATTTTCCAAATTTTGTATTTGGCTTTGTTATCATTAGATGAACCACGTTATAAGCAAAACATCAATTTTGAGTTCCCAAAGGTCTCGATTTTAAAATTTACCAAATGGATAGTCTAGATTCATTGTTGGAGGGGGGTCATTTTGACCATATATAAAGTGCAAATTGACATTTATTTTTCTTGGGATTAATTGTTGGTATGAAGAGAGTGCCTATTCAAAATTTGGGGTGACACAAATGCCACAAACATGGCTTTCTAGAAGTGTGGTCTCATTGTGTTACAATGAGTCGATGACATGAAATCACTCCCCTATATATATATAGGGTGTGGTTTCCATAAGGTTGCAACCTTAAACAATCCATTTAAGGCGCACCCTCAAATTTTATCATAACATATAATTTTGATGTAAAATATTATTAAGATTATCTCAAAATCTATTTTCAAATCTAATTATAAAATTTTAGAGTCCAAAAATGATTAAAATCAAGTAGATATATATACCTATCAAAATCTTGAAAATGGACGGTCCAGATAATGTGTTATAAGATGCACCATTTCTGGGATTCAAACTCCGTTTTTTTTCCATAGCCATACATCTTGATATCAAGATGCTCAATTAGAAAGCTTTTCAAAACTTAAAGACTTTTAACCGAGTGTAACTTTTGTAGGTGTACGGTAATGTCGATTTACGACTAGTTTTAAGCGTTTAGCTAACCTTATACTAAGTTTTAAGT